AGTCCACTAATCAATTAACCAACCAATCAGTCCACTAATCAATTAACCAACCAATCAGTCCACTAATCAATTAACCAAACAATCAGTCCACTAATCAATTAACCAACCAACCAGTCCACTAATCAATTATCTAACCAACCAGCCACCCAACCAACAATTCATGCCGACCAACCATTTTTGCCAACCAAACAACCAATAGGTAAACTAACAAGCAACCACCCACCCACTCATGCCAACCAACCAACAACACCAGCCAATCAATACACAAACTACCTAACCACCCACGCCAATCAAACAACCAGTCCACTAATCAATTAACCAATCAACAAACCAGCCAACCAACCAACCATTCATGTCAATCAACCAACCAGTCGACTAATCAACCAACTACACACACACACACATTAATGCCAACCAACAAATCCACCGACCAACAAACCATTAATGCCAGCCAACCATCCAAACATTCATGCAGACCAACCAATCAACTAACCAACCAGTTGATTAATCAAKAACCACACCAGCCAATCAATCCACAAACTACCTAACCACCCATGCCAAACAAACAACCAGTCCACTAATCAATTAACCAACCAACAAACCAGCCACCCAACCAACCATTCATGTCATCAACCAACCAAACATTCATGCCGACCAACCATTTTTGCCAATCAAACAACCAATAAGTAAACTAACAACCACCCACCCATTCATGCCAACCAACCAATCAACTAACCAACCAATTGATTAATTAACCAACCAACCACACCAGCCAATCAATCCACAAACTACCACAAACCACCCATGCCAATCAAACAACCAGTCCACTAATCAACCAATGAACCATTCAACCAACCAATCAAACAACCCACCTTACCAACCAATGGATCCACCAATCAACTCAACAAACCAACTAATGTTTTTTGGTCATGATTCATAGCTCATAATCAGAGGTGAAGTTTGGGTCATAAATGCATCAGTAAATCAAAAGCTTTTATCTTTTCAACTCAGGTCCTTCATCGAGACAAACCGGAGCAACACCCTCTTTACTCTAATTCTCTACAACATGACACCAGTAAACACCTACCTATTGGTGTGGGAGTTGTTGTGCATAAACCAGGAGCGGTTGTTGTCCACATACATGGCCCAGGCTTTGTCATCCTTCCCCAGCATCATCTCTTTCATGGTGTTGATCCTCGCCACGCCAAACGCAGGGTCCGGGTGGTTATCATAGCGATCGACGCTGACCTCCCAGTAGTGAATGCCCTGAGGTTTGAGGGAAAGTAAAAACGTTTGGTGGGATTCACAAACTTGACCCATGTAATGATTCTGTGAAATGTTAAAAAAAAGATGCCTCGCCTTAGAAAACGCAGCAGTCCCCAGAACCACACGGTCATCGTAGCTGTTACAGGAAGCTGTCTGGTTTTCATTAGACAGAACAATGTCCCGGTGGGTTGAGGTGGAGTCGAAGGCGAACCATGCCACTGTACGAAGAACACAACCGTTAGCTAGTGTGTAAAGCATGGTGCATTGTGGACAAACTGTCACAAAGAGGAATTACTGTGCTGAAAATGTGCAGATGTTGTTTGTTTGGCAGCCTGATAATAAACAATCTGCCCAGCCCTTCATTACATTCAATTCTCAGAGAAAAGAGGAGGAAGAGGGATTATCAGCAGGAAGAATAATGACACAGACAACAGTAAAAATAGCAGCAGGGATAAACTGTTATCAGTCAAAAAGCAGACACTAATACATGTTGTAGCTGCTGGAAAAGAGAAAATGTGTGGCTTCTGTCAAGAAAATCTGCCTTTATTCACCTCCCTTTTTATTCTTCTTTAGGTTTTCCTTATTGACTTTCTTTTCTGTCCTCTCCTTCCTCCTGTGGTGCACTCAAATCTTTTACATAATCATCTCTGCATCCCCATTTTATGGGGTAATCTTGACCAATTTTCTCCTAAATTTAGCTAGGCGTGTTGCCCACCTTTTYTGTGTGATCAACACTAAAATCGACACTGTTAACTAACACAACCAGGACCATCTTGTCACACGCACCGTCAGAGGTCTTCAGCACCACGGTCTTGCTGTATGGTCCAACACCAGTGTTGTTGTAGGCTTTCACCCGGGCATTGTAGGAGCTGTTAAAATGCAGCCCGTCCACCGTGCACACTGTCTCCTTCCCCACATACACCTCCTGAGAGAGCAACAACACATTACATCATCACAAATAAAAGCACATACAGCTCAGCTATCGCTGCCTGATGCCTACGATGGATGCAAACATTAAAAGAGGTCAAGAAACGTGAGTTAACTCATGACAGGATTAATCAGATATGAGCTAACCTCCGTCGGTCTTTAGTCTGCAGAACATTTATTATTAATATGAACTACAAGAGCAAGGATGACATCATTTATTGTGCTTTCTATTGGTCACAAAGCCTATTAGTTGATCTGTGCTTAAACAATTCAGACAAAACGGGGAAAAAATAAGCTTAAAACACTTTCCAGAGATTCTTAACCCATGGGTCGTGGCCCTATTGTGGCCCACAGCACCACCTTGAGGGCCTCAAAAGAACAACAGTTTTTAACTTTGGGCC